ATATTTTCTTTTTCCTTTTATTTTTTTAAATTTTAATAAATTTTCTTTGACGGATACATCAGATGTACTTTGATTCAATCAGATATATTTGTTATTTGATTGTCTAATAAGAAACCTAATGCAGTAACATATTTTATGATTGCGATGACCATCACAATGAAAGAAGAGAGAGAGAGAGAGAGAGAGAGAGAGAGGGAGAGAGAGAAGGTTGTCCGTTTGTCCGTTCATTCATGCGAAAAAATAAAAAGCTGCAGCACCAATTGGCGTCGGAATTCGTGCTCGTGCACTGGGAGTTGCGTCGGGGAAGGGAAGATCAAACTCATGCACGTAAGCATCGGGGTGTCAGACGCCGCCGCTGCTGTGCTGAGTTGAGTGGAGAAGAGTGAAGCGAGATGAAGTGAAAGCCTCAGAACTCTCGTCTCTGTCGGCTGGCGAACACTGCCATGCACACTACCTTTGCCTTTACTTCTACTCTTCAGCCGGAACGAGAAGAAAAGGAACTGTAAAGTTGAAAGCTCTCGCATTCATTTGCCGAATTCATCAAGTTGCATTGCAATCAATTATTAGTTTTTGTACTTCCGATTTAAGCATAAGATATATGCTCATTCAACATCCTTCGCTTCTATCTTCACTCAAAGATTTTAAATTAACAGTGGATTAATGTGATTAGCATTAATTAATTTGAGTTTAAAAAATAGAATTTATAAATTCTTCTTACCATCATAAAATGGTTTTCACAGACATGGCTGTCTAATGATTGAGCTTCAAACTCTCCCCTAAGGGCTTTTTCCTCTATTATGTGCATTAATGTAATTAAAATTAAATGATTGCCACTAGATTTTGTGGCAGGTGATATCACTCAGTAAAGTTTTCAGTAGTGACCACTCCTTGTTGGTCTCTCTCTCTCTCTCTCTCTACAAAAATGGATCCTCTTCGAAGAATTGAGACAAAGTGCACCATCAAATCAATTGGACGAGATGTCCACTGACCACAATAAGTCTGTGTGTCCCATGTTAAGCGGCTCATCTCTCTGGCTTCTGCAACACCAATGGTTGTCTCTCCGTTCACGGCCCAAACGTCTCACCTGTTGATCTTGTGATTGGAGAAAGCGCCGGCGCACATGTAGGGCCACGAATACGTCCAGTAACAGGGCAGGTAGGGAAGAGGGTAACCCATACAAAGGAAGTGCTATCATTGTGAAGGAAGCTAATCCTACGTCTGCAATAACAAGTGCAGCATGACGCCACCCCAAGTTGGCGAATCATAGTAGTGGATGAGGTGTCAATTCGAGCTGTCAACTCGACCAGCCAATCGTGGAGGTTAGAACGGGCCCACTGTCCATGTAGCAAGAGTTGGCAAGTTGGGTAAGGGTTGGGTGGGTAAACATGAAACCAACGCACACTCATTGTATTTAACTCATTCGCTTCAAATATATATATATATAACTCAATTATATTTCTGTTAATTTAGACTTAAACCTTTTGATTCAATAGTTTTAAATTCAACAATCAATAGATCAATCATCGATCGAGATGTTTCTCAGAAAACATTCTTACCAAATTAAGAATTATTGCAAAATTGAAGAATCAAAATTCTCCATATTACATAAATTATGGTCAAAGGCTTCAACTGTAGTCTCCAAAGAAGTAGTCTCGAATCGTCGACATGATTTTTCCTAAAAGTGACTCGTTTCGATAGGAAGAGTTGGGAATGCAGAGACGGTGGGCGACCGAAACCAGCACCCAGCCATTGAATTCTAAGGAAGACCGCAGTGCATCGAAGACGTAGTGCAGTCAAAATATCAACGGAGACCGAGGAAGAAATGTATGGAACAGCTCTAACGACTGAGATGGTCCTCTCCCTTCTGCTGCAATGATGAAAGGGGATGCGGATAGAGAAGAGGATAGCTTTTTATAAGCGGCAGCAGCAGCGCCACCGTCATCATCACCACCACCACGAGGAGTCGCTTTTTGATGTGGGTTGAATCCTGTACACTCTGCAAGGGCCCTTTAACAAGAAGGGAAGCACCTCTTCTTGATCATTTTGTTCATCACCACTCCTCGTCGGACCCTTTAGCAATGCAACTGATGAAGCCTTTAGCGTAGTTGTTTGTTAGGAGATTCATGCGTTTCGGTCTTCTTCCTTCTCGATCTTTTCTTCCAAGTGTCTCGTATGACCTAATGTCATCATCACGTCTGAGAGAAGCAACCAAAAGAGGAAGGATGGAAGTAAAGATGACAAAGTGCTCATTGATCCGCATGAAAGGGAGTAAAACTTCAAAGGGTAAAAAGTTGCAGAGAAGTACAAAAGAGGGAGAAGTGATGGCTATCAGAACGACATAGAGAACCTATAAGAGACCCGTCTCTGATCTCAGTCTTTCTTGTTCGTCTTCTCGCAATCGTGCTCCTACTTGTCTGAAGAGCTGGCGTACCGGTGGAGGAACGGAGATGAGGCGATGGGAGCGGTCAATCCCAGGGTCACCTCAGCAATCTCCGCCTTTCTCCTTCATCTCCGAAACCCCATCAGCACCATCGACCACCGCAACCACCACTTTAATCGAAGAGACCGAAAGCCGAACACCAAAACCACCACGACCACCACCAGCAACGGCAGCAACAACCACCCCAACGAAGACGAAGGAAATGCCGACGACCAGTCTACCGGTGGCCTCGAGGTGGTCGAGGGTGGCCCTGGCAGCCGAGCTGGCGGCGCCGCGGGCCGCCGCCCTCGAGGCCGACCGCCAGGTTCCAAGAACAAGCCGAGGCCGCCCGTCATCATCACGCGGGAGAACCCCAACGCGCTCCACGCCCATGTCCTCGAAGTCGCCAGCGGAACCAACATCATGGACGCCGTTGCCACCTTCGCCCGCCGGAGGCAGCGAGGGGTCTGTATTTTGAGCGGAAGCGGGGTCGTCACTAGTGTCACGCTTCGCCAGCCTGGAGCGCCGGCCGGGGTAATCACGCTTCCAGGCTGCTTCGAGATCCTTTTTATTTCCGGGTCTTTCCTCCCGACGCCATCGCCGCCCGGCGCCACCGGGCTGGCAGTCTACCTAGCTGGCGGCGAGGGGCAAGTGGTGGGAGGGAATGTTGTGGGCAAATTGGTCGCCTCGGGCCCGGTGATGATGATCGCAGCCACATTCTTGAACACCACATACGAACGGTTACTGCATGAGGATGAAGAGCCAGCGGCGGTGGTGGCTCAATTGGGCACAGAAGGATTGCCGCAGAGACCGAGAGGCAATGAAGGCGGCGGCAGATGGTCATCGCAGCTGGCGCATGGGCGATTGGATCCGGCGTCGATGTCGCTGTTCAATCTGCCACCAAATCTGTTACCTGATGGTCAGATTCCCCATGAGGTTTTGGGCGCTTGGGCTTCCGCTGCAGCTCCTCGGCCGCCTCCATCCTACTGAGTCTCATCGCAGTGTCCTGCTCCTCCATCATCTTCATGTTAATGTCGTTGCATGCTCTCTTTCCTCTGTAAACACATTTACTAGTTGCTATATTTTTCTTGTGATTTTATTTAATTCTATTCGCATACTTCCAATCACAAGAAAATGTCGAAAATACAGCTACATATATGCCTCGTAGAATCCCAGTTACCTTAGCATCCGAAAGTTCAAGGATCCTTAGCTCATATATACCTCGTCTTGCTGCAGTTCTACGGTTCTGATACTGGAATTAGATTGGTTGCTCAACCATAAATAAGTTTGTTCTCGGAGGTGCTTTGGGTTTCTCTTTGACACCACATTTCGTATAAAAATAGCGTGTAAACTACGAGTCCATGACATGCCAGAAATATCAATGGAGAGGCCAACCCGAGCCCCACCCATGCGTTGTCTGGAGTGAGTTCTCAACTCTTCTTCCTACAGACTTTTGGTTATCCCCAAAGTTTAAACTCTCACTGCAAAAATGCTCTTCTTTTCTGGACAACTTTATCTAAACTCAGCCGTCGCCTACGGTTGTGCCACGCGTCGCCAACCGGATCACAAGCGTGTGGCCATCAGGAAGTCGCCAGCCACAGCCACACAGCGATCCCGAGCTCAGGCAAACCCCATCGGCTTCACCACCACCACACCCCTGCCATGCCCATTGCTATTAATATTTCTTCGCCGTCTTCCAATCCCCATCCGCGATCCATTGGTTGCAGGCTTCCTCCGGCATGGCCGCCGCCGTCTCCACCATCGGAGCTGTCAACCGAGTCCCGGTACCGTGCTGCGTTCGCACATCACGTTCTTCTACTGTTTGATTGTACTGTATATAGCGTCTTTTCTGCTCTGGCTCTGAGTTGAGTTGCGTTTGTGTTGGTGTGTAGCTGAGCCTGCATGGCTCCAGCTCGGGAGCTTCGATCCCTAGCTCAGTGTTCTTGGGGAGCAGCTTGAAGAAGGTGAACTCGGTTCCCAGCCACGGGAGGGTCCCCACTCGCACCTTCAAGGTCTTGGCTGCAGACCTCGATGAGTCGAAGCAGACCGAGAAAGACCGGTGGGCGGGGCTCGCTTACGATGTATCGGATGATCAGCAGGACATCACCAGAGGGAAGGGGCTGGCCGATTCCCTCTTCCAAGCACCCACGGGCGATGGGACTCATGAGGCCGTCTTGAGCTCCTACGAATACATCAGCCAGGGCCTCCGTCAGTAAGACAACTGCAACAACCTCTTCTCTATGCAGCTCCATGGCATTTCTCTGTGTCTGCTTCGTAGAGACAGGGCCTTGACTACTGTTGTGATGTTAGGTACAACCTCGACAACACCATGGATGGATTCTACATCGCTCCCGCTTTCATGGACAAACTTGTTGTTCACATCTCCAAGAACTTCATGAACTTGCCCAACATCAAGGTGATCATTGTTCTCGTTGGTGGTGCACTGATACATGTTCGATGTGAATCTCACTGCGAAGATTTGTTGACAGGTTCCATTGATTTTGGGTATCTGGGGAGGCAAAGGGCAGGGGAAATCCTTCCAGTGTGAGCTCGTGTTCGCCAAGATGGGAATCAAGTAAGCTCGTATCATGTGGTTGAATCATTGATTTGAGCATGATGAACTGCTTAAAGAAGCAGATATTTCTTTGTTCTTCAATCCTGTAAGCATTGAACATACTGCAAATCTTAGAGAATTGAGATATCACAACTTTTTCCACATACCTCTGATCCATCATTATACGATCCACACATGCTACTACCAATGAATCTTTGACACTATAATCTTTACGACTCAGTTTTTGTTCCTTTGAACCAGAACAAATTGTTCATACAAACCCATAGAACAGAGAGTTTGCTAACAAGTAAATTTCATCACTGTAGTGTTAAAAGACCCTTAATTTACATATTTAAGTAAATTAACAACTTAGCTGCCGCTGTGTCTCTGTTCTGCAACTGCTAACCTATGCTTGATATGGTGCCATTGACAAGATTCATACTTGTATGCTGTTTCTCTGCATGGAAGTTTCACCATCAATATGTCCTCTTGTATTTTAATCTGAGTTCCATGACATCCGACCTGACTTTGTAAAATCATCGTTGTCCATCATCTTTTCTCCCTTTTGGCATTTGCCCTTAAAGATGTGAAGACAATGCCTGCGATTAATTATAAATCTGTCAGCATGAGAAAGATTGGATTCTAAGCAATCGATCATTCATTTTTACAATTTCAATTGTTGCACCTGTAATGAATCAGTACACATTTTGAACATATTCATGTGAGGCACTCTGATTCTATGAACACCCTGATCTGATATCTGAGTCAATTTCTGTGTTTCCCCACCTTGTAGAAGGATCAAACACTTGTGTCGTATGATTAGATTCTTGGTAGCTAGTTTGAAGCCATTGTGAATTCCTCGGAGGCTCATGATCGATTTAACCGTCCTGTTTGCAGCCCTATAATGATGAGTGCCGGAGAACTGGAAAGTGGGAATGCAGGAGAGCCTGCAAAATTGATCAGGCAAAGGTACCGGGAGGCAGCCGAAATCATCAAGAAGGGGAAGATGTGCTGCCTCTTCATCAACGATCTCGACGCCGGAGCTGGGCGGCTCGGCGGCACTACCCAGTACACGGTCAACAACCAGATGGTGAACGCCACCCTCATGAACATCGCCGATAACCCAACCAACGTGCAGCTCCCGGGAATGTACAACAAGCAGGAGAACCCCCGCGTTCCCATCATCGTCACCGGAAACGACTTCTCCACCCTCTATGCTCCGCTCATTCGTGATGGTCGTATGGAGAAGTTCTACTGGGCGCCAACCAGAGAGGACCGCATCGGCGTCTGCGCCGGAATATTTAGGACCGACAATGTCGCCAAGGAGGACATTGTCAAGCTCGTCGATTCGTTCCCCGGCCAGTCCATCGGTAAGCTTCCCGAAACCCAAAATGAAAATGAAGCTGGGCGTTCATCAGACTCGATCTTTAGCATCGAACTTAGCTGATGTTGCTTATGTAATGCAGACTTCTTTGGCGCCGTCCGAGCCAGGGTGTATGATGATGAGGTGAGGAAATGGGTTGCAGAGATCGGGGTTGAAAGCGTGAACAAGAAGTTAGTCAACTCACTGGAAGGACCGCCGACGTTCGACCAGCCCAAGATGAGCCTCGCCAAGCTAATGGAGTACGGTAACATGCTGGTGAAGGAGCAAGAGAACGTGAAGAGGGTGCAGCTGGCCGACAAGTACCTGAGCGAGGCCGCGCTGGGAGACGCCAATGAGGACGCCATTAACACGGGACAGTTCTACGGTTCGCACTCTCTATGTCATCCTGTCTCTTACGTACAAAAGATATGGTGCTTTGCGGCCATAGCTGATGCGTTAAGCTTACTACCCGTATGCAGGGAAAGCAGCTCAACAGGTGGGCGTCCCAGTTCCAGAAGGGTGCACTGATCCGATTGCCACAAACTTTGATCCGACGGCCAGGAGCGACGATGGGAGCTGCTTGTACCCCGTCTGAGTGTGTGGTTTTTGTGATTGATGGAAACATATCGGAGACGAGGCCTTCTTTGTCTATGCATGGGGTGGAATAGCAGTAGCAGCAGTCGCTGTGTTGTAAACATACCTATGTGACTCTTTTAAATCCATAAACGGCTTTTATTCTTATGATTTGGTAAGCCTCAAGAAATAAAGACTCCACTTTTATTATTTTTTTTTCTTTTTTTAAAGAAAGTGAAAACCATATGAGGTAATCAAAGCAGCAATCAGATGAGATCAGGAGGGAAGTCCTCCCTCCAAAAATAATTTGCTAGCCAATTTACTAAGTGATTTCTCTCCCTAAATATATGTATCGCTTAAACTCCTCCTCATATATACTTTGAAAATCTAAAATATTCTCAATAACATTCCTTGAATGCTATGGTAGCTCCAAAGGATGGTTGATATGTTGCACAATGCCTACTGAATCTAACTCTCACCCAATGGCTACTAGCAACATATGAAACTTCTTTGAAAGCAATTGCTTTATTGAAAACTATCAACCTCCAAGTAGTATATTTGTAACCTATAAATTAAAGAATAGCATTACTATCCGTAATGAGAAAACCTATGCCCGAGTCATCGGTATTGGTGGATTCTATTGAACTCATAAGGACATTCTCTCCTACATCTCAAAATCTTTGTTATCAACATAATCCCACAAGAAAGCTATAGCAGTGTCTACAATATTATTAAGTGTGAGATTTTTATTCGAAAATTTAGCATCATTCATAGCCCTCCAAATGAGCCATAAAGCAATCACAATGAAAGCTCTTAAGATCTCCCTCGTTAAGCCAATTTTCTTATTTCCACAATGCAAATAATTTAAACTAGAATTATCTCCAGAGGTGCCAAAGTTGCTCTCCAAAAGGGCTAGAATTCAGGCCTCGAAGAAATCAAGTTAAAAGAGTCTCTCCCGGCACCATCGAGCGGTGGTGGTCGTCGCAGGAACCTACCCACCAGACAATGTTTCCATGGTGCTCGCCACGATCGCAAGTGCTCCTCATCGAAAACCACCGAGTCCGCCGACGAGAGTTTGATTTTATCCAATGATGCATCACCCAGCAGACCATTGGAATTTCGTCCCAACGAGGAAGAGAGTACCTGCGACCATGAAAGGGTGCCAGCGGCTGGAGCCTTTCCTCGAGCGGCAGGAGGGATCAACGATGAAACCACAGCCGGAACCGAAGGGATGCGTAGGGGAAGCAACCCGAAGAGGAGGGAAGAGAGCAGGGGGCGATGGGGTTTCCCTCATCATCCGAGAGAGGAGGGAAGAGGGAGAAGGTCTAGTTTAAGGCTACCTGTATTTGATTTGTTGTGATTGGCATGCAGACAATTCCCAAATATCGCTTTAATTTTTGAAAGGTATGGGGTAAAATGGAACAGAAGAAAAGGTATCGTCGATCCATCTCTCTAAGCTACCAAATCTTGCTTTGATTTCTAGGACGGAGCTGCAGTAATCATCCTCTTGTTAATCAACATAACCATTGTTCTTTTCATCCTGAGAAGAAGGAAGAAACTAAGATTGGGAGGTGGAATACGGACCTCATAGGTTCTCCTACAACCATCTGTACCTACAGAATCTACTCGGCATCGGATGCTTTGGACAAATCTACAAAGGCGGCCTGCCGACATCCAAGATTTGCCTACGTTCGTTTAGATTCGTGCTGACCCAAATTATTAGGTGAACCAATTCGGAAATAAAGATCCTCTTTAACCGTCCATTTCGACGAGCTAAAACCCCAATATTGAATATAATAATAGAGAAGGAATTGACCAGATAGTCGTCAAATTAGATCCACCTGGAATCTTGTCCGATCTGATTATGAATCGGATGAACAAATTGACTCGATTACTACGTCGAGTTCATCAAGATTTCGGCTTTATCTGATGCATTAACAGCCCTGCATTCACTCATCGATTGACTCCAAATTAAATTGTGAAATGAAGTTGAACGAAGTAAGAGTTGGATACAACAGAAACGAGCAGTCTAAATATGTTCACTTCGTCGAACACTTATTAAGATGTTATACTATTGCCCCCTTGTAGATGTAGCTTCAGGAAGCATGATAGAAATGGTCAAATTCCATCGTCGATGTACATGTCATCGTTAGATGTATCTCACGTTGATATCTTTAGTTCAAAATAAGATCCATATGTCTACTTTCTACTTCAACATGGGTTCTACTTTCTTGCTTTTGCTCAAGATAAGTATCTTAACTTCATCTTCATTGAAGCAGATCTCTTCTCATCTAAAAACTACGACAGTCACATTCGTTCGACCAAAAGAAAAATAAAATGAAACGAAAACAAAGACAATCTCACAAGCTAAAAAATTTATCCAAACCACCTAAGACGATAAAATTATCCTTCTGTCTCTAAATTGCCACAACTCCACCCATGCATTGCATGTCCTCTCAAGTGCAAGTTTTTGTGAAGTCATGAGCGAGATTAGAAACGATTGGGTCAACGTCAGGCATCAGCTTAGGGAAGAAAGCAGACGAAGATAAAGAAATGGCCAAATGGTAGAGTAGAAGATACAGGTAGATGTCGTTTGTTGCGAATTAGGTCTATAAATCCACCATCCCACTCAAGACTTCCATTGGTAGTTGAGGACAGTTTAACTGCCCGATTCCTTCCCTAAGTTCCGCTGCCGGTCTAACCCACGCCACCTTTTCATGCCTTATTATCTTTCTCACGCCTCCATCTACTGTTGCCAAAAGCTTCCCTCAACACCTCATTCCTTTAATCCTATTGGCGAACTCCGACAATACATTCACGTCGTAGAGGAGTCGAACGAGCATGGAGGATCGCCGCTCGGGCCGGCCGGCATCCGGCTCCATCGTGTCGGAGCTCGAGGGTACGCTTCTTAAAGACGTCGACCCCTTCCCTTACTTCATGCTCGTCGCGTTCGAGACGTCGGGCTTGGTCCGATTCGTGGTGCTGCTGCTCCTGTGGCCCCTGCTCCGCCTGCTCGACCTGTTCCGCCTCGGCCAGCTCGGGCTCAGGCTCATGGTCTTCGTGGCCGTCGCGGGAGTGCAGGAGTCGGAGATCGAGGCGGTGGCGAGGGCCGTGCTGCCCAAGTTCTACGTGGAGGACGTGGACGTGGCGGCGTGGAACGCGTTCAGCGCGTTCGAGCGGCGGGCGGTGGTGACGCGGTGCCCGACGGTGATGGTGGAGAGGTTCGCGAAGGACCACCTCGGTGCCGTCGAGGTAGTGGGATGTGAGCTCGAGGTCAGTCGATCCGGGTACGCCACCGGGTTCCTCAAGAAAGTAGAGAAGTCCTTGGCCGAGCAGGTGATGGCCGTCTGTGGGAAGGAGAAGGCTGATGTAGGTTTGTGCACATCGGCCTCGGCACAGTCATTCTCATTTCTGTGCAAGGTAAGTTGGAACAGTTCATTTTGCGGATGTATCGGAACGATTCACATGATTCTGATCTAAAATTCTTATCTTTCTAAGAGCAGGATTCTCCTAAGATCATATAAGTCCAAAAACATTGTTGCTTCGCAATAGTTTGATAGAAAATTTTTATTTTTGAGATCAAACCCTCTGTAGAGACCATGAGAATTATATTTGAGTACAAAACCGCTGTAACTTGTTGACGACGTAAGTAGGGAGGTAAACAGATGTTAACTACACTTCTTCAAGTATAAACAGAGTAGATAGCTATCCTTAAACAGAGCAAATAACAACATTTGGTACGTGAGCAGGAACTACATCGCATGCCAGTCTCCGCTGACCCGGTGCACAACGAGGAAGAACAAAGACGACCGCCGCCGGTGATCTTCCATGATGGCCGCCTCGTGCGCCGTCCCACGCCATTCACAGCACTCCTCACCATTTTGTGGATACCATTTGGTATAGTGCTCGCCTTCGTCCGCATCGCGGTGGGTCTGACCGTCCCCATATGGGTCATCCCTTACATCGCACGCCCGTTCGGCGGAGCGCTCATCGTGAGAGGCCGGCCGCCGCCACCCGTCTCCGGCTCTACCACCGGCGTCCTCTTCGTGTGCACCCACCGCACCCTCATGGATCCGGTGGTCCTGTCGACGGTCCTCGGTCGCAAGGTCCCGGCCGTCACGTACTCCATATCCTGGCTGTCGGAGATCCTGTCACCGATCCGCACCGTCCGGTTGAGCAGGGACCGGCAGGTGGACGCGGAGCGCATCAGGAGCGAGCTTGCCAAAGGCGACCTGGTGGTGTGCCCCGAGGGCACCACATGCAGGGAGCCCTTTCTGCTGCGGTTCAGCGCCCTCTTCGCCGAGCTGACGGACCGGATCGTGCCGGTGGCCATGAACTATCGCGTCGGCTTCTTCCACGCGACCACGGCGAGGGGGTGGAAGGCGATGGACCCCATCTTCTTCTTCATGAACCCCCGGCCAATCTACGAGGTCACGTTCCTCAACCAGCTGCCGTGGGAGGCGACGTGCTCTGCCGGGAAGAGCCCGCATGACGTTGCCAACTACGTGCAGAGGATCCTGGCGGCCTCGCTTGGCTTCGAATGCACCAACTACACGAGGAAGGACAAGTACCGGATGCTCGCCGGCAACGACGGGACTGTCAACTTCGATTTGGCCTCGCCATTGGTGGAGCGAGCGAAGGAGGTGCTTCGGTTTCTGCGCTGGACTACGTGAGGGTTTCCCGACGTTTCTGCTGCTTGCCATGTCGTGTATCTTTGGGGTAGATGTTATGATGGACTCTTATACATACCGATATATACATTTCAATTGTCTTTGAATCAAATTTGAATGATAAAAATAACATATTCCTTGGAACAAAATAAAAACCTGAAAATGTCCATCTAATTTTGACGAAAAAGAAAATTTGTAACATGTATGTCATTATATGAATCATTATATCATCAGGTCTTTGTATGACTGTGCGTACCATTGCCTGCGTTGGATATGCTTGCTCTCTCTAAAGTTATCGTTCGTTCCACCACTTCACCCACGTCCGTAACAGAGACATCTTAGGTGAGGCAACCATATGGAGACTAACATTACCTATGGATACCACAAGTGAGGTCATCAGCATGTATAGGATCCACACTCTCGGTATGCGTAGCCAGCTGAATCCTATCCGAAGATATCCGAGAGACCAGACATAAGAATCCGAATCAGTAGTCACCGGACCACTGCCTTCCGGTGGAGTGACACTCGAATAAGAAAGTGCATATAATTTCGTCCCTTTGAATCAACAAAACAAAGAAACTATTTACGTATTCTACTACAACATTACCGCAGAAATCTCCAAACATATCCTCATAGTAACAGCAACAGGTAATGAATGAATGATTGGAGCAAGAGAGTTTGGGAAGCCGCGTGCGTTTGAGCCTCCACGCCTTCCTCTCTCTTCAATCATGGCAACTAATGGTCGCCTTCTCACCTAAGCAAATCATACGGCCCTGCAATATGAATCACCAGATTAGACTCGATAGGTTGTGATCACCGGATGCATTGCCATCGTTAGTGAAAGATGACGTGATTAATCAGCCCCATCAATGTCGAAGTGGACGGCTCACTGCCAGCCCATACTCCACGAAGTTGATGTTCAACCACAGCATCATAATAATCCCTATCCAATTACCTGTTCATCGAATGTATGTGTTTTCTTGGACTATCTCCACGATCTCATCTTCCAATCATGCACTAGTCGCTCCAACATATTCACCGAGGCATTTGGATTTTGAATCATTCGGACTAACTCTTGATATTTCTCAAGTCATTGCAGTACAATGATTGATGCACTGTGTTCACAGTACATGATGGGAGACTTTTAATTTCTTGGTCGCATTTGTATCGAATAAAAACGTGGCATGAGACTGTGGTTTAATGGCTACCAGCATACCAGTCACCTGATCTTGACGTGGTGGCAATATGTAAGGAGGCAGTCGGCAATGGCATCCCACACCATTGGTATATGCTATCGCATCACCATCAGAATGGTACTCGATGCTGACATGATGACGGCATAAAAATCACGCAAGACAACGTTGTGGATGGCACTCATTGGTGTACGGTTGCCAACATTGTTATTATCCAAACGGAATATTATCAATGATGTGAATACCACGTCAAATGGAAATAATTGCTGACATGATGATGGTATAAATCATGTTAATTTGAGAGAAGTATATAGGAAAACTTTCTTCGTAATCCAAAATCATAAACATTCAAAGAAAAGAAAAAGGAACACTCTGAACAATCATAAAAAAAAGAAGAGAAAAAAACTAAAAGTATCTTTCCGGAGTCAGTTTGACTTGAAGTGCACACTGAACACTAAATTATTTAGCCGGACAAGGCCAACACAGCAGCAGTGCAAGAGTTGACGGGCCAAAGCTTATCCTTGCAGGAGCACACAAGCCATTGAAATTTCAACATAGGTCCACGGTGAGGTCTCCTATGTTGTCGTCTTCGCCTCTCTCTCATTGAAAGATGAGCTCTTGCGGTGCCCACTCCATCGGAGGCTGGTCTCTAATCTGTCCTCATCGCTGATGAAGCTCGTGGGATTCTCCAGGATCGACGATAGATCACCTCGACAGTCCCCATTCAATGATCCCAAGACCTGCTCCATGGAAAACCCAAACGGTTGTTCCCCCGAGCGGGCCAAGCATTACTGTCGTCGTTTTGTGGTGCTCTGAAAAGGTTCTTACTGCTGTCAATATGGTGACATCGTCATCATGTTCCAAGGTAGGACGTACTTGAAGCTGCTGTGCTGTAGCTCGTCTGCATAAATTCTAGAACCATAGCCGACAAAATGAAGGGTTTCATCAACACCATCATAAAGCCAATAATAGTATATGTGATCCTTCCTTTTTGTATGAGCACTTGGTTTGATTCTTTATTTTGTATTCGGCGATGGGGTTTGGTGGGGTTGGGAAATGTGTCAGTGGTGATTTCAGTTCAATTCCCAGAAATAATGAGAGACAGCTAGCTTCGTAAGACCCAGTATCATCTATACTGGACACAGCGAGAGATAGAGAGAGGCCGTGCATGGAACAGCTGTGTTAACTTATTAACTGGTGATTGCCATGCAGCGAGCGCTGTACTGTTGTATCTAAGAGGAGGTCAGTGAGTGTAGCATCACGAGTGGAGTCCCCGTACGGGCGGTGGACCACGCGGTGGGAACGCAAATGTGACACGTCTTTTGACATCGTCCTCCTCCTTTGGCCGATGGCGGATGACTTAATTGGAACAGGCGCCAGTTTTCTCTGAGCCAACAAAGCCAATGGTAGACGTCGCTGGAGCTACAATGACACACCATTGTTGCGTTCGAGCGAAATGTGCCGTAACGATGCGTCGAGATTGTTAGTTCGTCACTCCGATTTCCTCTTCAGGAATCGCAAGTGGACTCCTCGAATGGATGATGACGAGGTGAGGCTTCTATTTCTTTATACAAGGCAAACGAGAAACGACAACGACGAATGCCTTGTCAGTGTTATCGCAGAAAGGGATTCGAAACCACTCCGCTCTTAGCGAGCGTCTCCAAACCCCACCCTCCCAAAACTCACCTTCCCCGAGCGAGCTCGCTCCTCCTCCTCTTGCCTTCTTTTGCTATTTAAAGAGCCCCGTCTCTGCCTCGATCCCAGACTGCTCTGTTTCGCACGAAGAAAGAAGCTACACTATGGCCTCCCCTGTTTCTGCTTCTATTCCCCTGTTTTTGTGTCTTCTCATGTTTCAAAACCTGAACTTGCTCTGTTTTGTGATGGCGGCACGGACTATGGCTCCTGATTCCAAGGCAAAGCCGCTTCTTCTTCCGCTGCGAACCCAGAAGATGTCGACTTCCAGCCTTCCGATGTCACCCAACAAGCTCCGGTTCCACCACAACGTCAGCCTTACCGTCTCCCTCTCCGTGGGGAGCCCGCCGCAGAACCTCTCCCTGGTGCTCGACACCGGCAGCGAGCTGTCGTGGCTCCTTTGCGGCGGCTCCACCGCCGCATTTCCGTCCTTCCGTCCTCGCGCCTCCTCCACCTACTCCCCCGTTCCCTGCTCCTCCCCGACGTGTCGTGACCGGACGCGCGACCTTCCCATCCCGGCCACCTGCGAGGAGTCCACTCGCCTCTGCCACGTCGCCCTCACCTACGCCGACGCTTCCTCCTCGGAGGGCACCCTCGCCTCCGACCTCCTCCGCGTCGGCGAGTCATCTCCCCTGCGCACCGTCTTTGGCTGCATGACGTCAGCCTACTCCTCCGCCACCGGTGACCTCTACGCCGCCGGCATGCTCGGCATGAACAGGGGCGCCCTCTCCTTCGTCTCCCAGACCGCCACCCGCCGCTTCTCCTACTGCATCTCCGACCGCGACGCCGCCGGCGTCCTCCTCCTCGGCCACGACACCCTGTCCTTCCTCCCCCTCAAATACACCCCCTTCGTCCAAATCGCTCTCCCCCTTCCTTACTTCGACCGGGTTGCATACTCCGTCCAACTGGAGGGCATCCGCGTGGGCCGCACGCTCCTCCCCATCCCCAAGTCGGCGCTCGTCCCGGACCACACCGGCGCGGGGCAGACCATGGTCGACTCGGGGACGCAGTTCACCTTCCTCCTCGGCGACGCCTACAGCGCGCTGAAGCAAGAGTTCCAAAGGCAGACAAAGGGGGTCCTGCCGGTGCTGAACGAACCGGACTTCGTCTTCCAGGGGGCGTTCGACCTGTGCTTCCGGTTACCAACCGGTTCCGGCGCGCCGCCGAAGGGGTTGCCGGCGGTGGTACTGATGTTCAGTGGAGCGGAGGTGGCGGTGACGGAGGAGCGGCTGCTGTACCGGGTAGCTGGGGAGCGGCGGGGGCGGGACGAGGTGTGGTGCTTCACCTTCGGGAACTCGGACTTGGTGCCCATGGCGGCGTACGTGATCGGGCACCACCACCAGCAGAACCTGTGGGTGGAGTACGACCTGGAGAAGGGCCGCGTCGGGTTCGCTCCCGTGCGCTGCGACCTGGCTAGCCAAAGACTCGGTCTGGTGCTGTGAAAGATAAGCGCCGCATCGACGGCCTTTTTGGGGACCTTCCGCCAATCTTTTGACCTGTAGTCTTAGTGTTCCTTTCCTTTTTTGTCTCTCCCCCTTTTTTTCCCCTTTAAAAAACTTATCGTTGGATAAGCTGTCGCTTCTGACGTTTGGAGCACATCGTTTCACTCCACCTGTTGATATATATGTATATATACTGTGAATCTAAACTCAGGATTCTGTGGCTCTCTTTCCTCCATTTTCTCTCTTTCTTTTTACTAGTGTTCTTCATTCTGAATCTTTTTCATGTATCATTTCACACCTAATGAAATGAACAAAGATCTTTAACCCTTCGTCCAAGGAAGAAAAACTCTCTCTCTCTCTCTCTCTCTCTTAGCAACCAATTATATATTCCCTACTCTTTTGCAAAAGGTTTATTCTTTGCCCAAACAGCATGGAAAACTTTGGAAAAAGAGTTACCGTCCTATGCGATTCCCACCAATTCCGTTCCCGTCCACTTCGCCGTCGCCATCGGCCTTTCAGGCTCTCCTCTGAGATACACGCGCCATTAGGTGGGGAATAGAGCTGATGAAGACTCGAAGCGACCGAGTATTGTTATGCTTCTCGTATTGGTTTGGATCCGAACTCGTCTTCTGTAAGCTTCGATTTCAAGATCGTCTCCATCTTATGAACATGTATGGGATCAGAAATTACGATAGAAGGAGGAGGAGATTGGCAGCGGCGCGGATGGGGATGTGCTCCATCTCCCTTCACATGGATTCATGTACTCGGCCTGAGTTCTCGACGCG